GCCGTGCGGCTCCTGACGTCTAGACGTGGAGTCCCCATATCTCCCCACATCTCCCCGTACCTCCCCGTATCTCCCCGGACCTCCCCGGACCTCCCCGGACCTCCCCGGACCTCCCCGTACCTCCCCGTACCTCCCCGTATCTCCCCGTACCTCCCCATATCTCCCCGTACCTCCCCGTACCTCCCCGTATCTCCCCGGACTACCTCCCCGTACCTCCCCATACCTCCCCGTACCTCCCCGTACCTCCCCATACCTCCCCGTACCTCCCCGTATCTCCCCGGACCTCCCCGTATCTCGCCGTATCTCCCCATACCTCCCCGTAGGCGGGCGAGATACAGGCGGCCGGCCGGAACAACTACATGACGCTCGAAAAGGAGTCCAACATCGGCCCGGTCGTCTTTGAGACCAGGGAGATGCGCCGAGATTGCCCGAGATGCGCCGAGATTGCCCGAGATGCGCCGAGACTGCCCGAGAGTGCTGCGCGCGCTGCCTCCGCGCCGCCTCTCCCCGCCTTCGCCGCCTTCCCTGCCGCCGCCTCTCACCGCCTCTCTCTGTCTCCGGGCGCAGGCGCTTCCGAAGGAGACGCCGATTGATTTGGGAGGGCGGCCGATGGTGCGCGGCTAGACGATCCGAGAGGAGCTGAGAGGGGCCGAGGGGAGAGGAGGGGAGGGGAGAGGCGGGGAGAGGAGCCGAGAGGAGCCGAGAGGAGCCGAGAGGGGCTGAGGGGAGAGGAGGGGAGGGGAGGGGAGCCGAGAGGAGCCGAGGGAAGCCGAGGGGAGAGGAGGGGAGCCGAGGGGAGAGGAGGGGAGCCGAGAGGAGCCGAGAGGAGCCGAGAGGAGCCGACGGGAGCCGACGGGAGCCGAGGGGACCCGAGAGTAGTCGATTACGCGATTAGAGGACGCCTTTCCCCCCCCTGGACCCCCCCCCCCCCCCTCCCGCCCTCCCCCTCCCGGGGCCCTTTTGTGACGCTTGCGCTCGTGGTCACACAAAAGAATGCGCTGACAGTCGGGAGCGGCCAACCCACCGCACCGCACCGCACAAAAGAAACACACCGCAGCGCAGTCAGTCGAGCCCACCCTCTAGGTTGGCGCTCCCCATATCTCCCCATATCTCCCCATATCTCCCGCAGTCAGTCCAGCCCACCCTCTAGGTTGGCGCGTGCTCACAGAAAAACACAGCCCCGGACCCAAGACGCACAAGCACAGACAGTCGAGAAGGGTGAGACAGCAACGACAGTCAGAAGGCAGCGCTGGGTCCCAGGAAGGCGAATGCGATGACGGCCTCTAGCGCGTGCTCACGCCCTAGGTAGTAGGCAGCCTTGTGTCCACGACCTGCCCCCCCCTCTCCACGCCCCATCCCACCCTAGCACCACACCCCTAGGTGGCGTCCGCGACGGAGGGAAAGAAGAACACCGTCATCCGCGACGAGGTGGAGGTGGCGGCGGCCAAGAAGGGAGAGGAGTAGGGCCGTCCCCCCCCTCCCACCGGGCAGAAGAGCGAGGAGTAGGCCTCCCCCTCCCCCTACCGTGCACACGCGTCCCATGGCAGCCTCGTGCTGTGACTCGCGCGCCCTGGTGCCGACCCCCCCCCCCCCCCTCCCCCCCTCCCCCGGCACGTATAGCCGCCGGGGCGCCGTCCCCGTTGCGCCCTGCAGCTGTGTCGCACGGGTCGGCGGGGCAGCTCGTTCCATTTCCTCTCTCTACGCCCCCAGTGCATACCCTTTAGCGCGAGAGAGCCCCGGGGACGGAGCCCGGAAGTGTTTATTTGCGTTTTCGTGGATGCGAGAGACGGGTACGGTACTGGATAACGTACGGCTCTACGACTTGGAGCACTTGCTTGGAGTGCAGTCATCAGCCTCACATCCAGGGCCGGGGAGCTAAAGAAGCGCACCCAGCGCGGCTGACGGGCCAGCGGGCCGGATGATCGGGATCTCGACTGTAGTGCCCGCCGTTCTCCATGGCGCGCGTAGCTATGACAGGGACCGCGGCCGCGGACCCGGCGGCGGACGGGGCTGGCGCGCAAGCGCCGGCCACCGTCGTGCCGCCGGGGATGCGCAGCGGACGCTGGAATAGCTCCGATCGCGCGCAACTGGAGGACGTGGTGAGTGTCGCAAGGTTGTTCGGTGCGTCTTGTGTCAGGGTGATAAGGCCTGGCTACGCGACCATCGAGGTCGACCTGAAGCACGAGAAGGCCGCGGGCGACCGCGAGTCGGTGCAGGCGGCGGAGCGCTCGTACATCGAGCGCACCGCGCCGAAGAAGAAGGAGCCCACCAAGGAGCAGCTCGCGGCTCGAGCCGCGGCACGCAAGGCCAAGAAGAACCGGCAGAAGGAGCGCCGGGCGACGGAGGCTGGCGAGCGCGCCGCGAGCGAGGCCGAGCGCGCGGAGGCCCCGCGGGCGCAGCTGCGCGAGAACATCCAGTACGTGATGGCCGGGCTGCGGTCTGCAGCTGCGCAGGCGCGCGCAGCCAGGCCGGGTCCAAAATGGGGGTCGAATACTCGCTGCCCCCGGAGAGGGACGACGGGTATCGACGCGGCCCCAGCAAGGTGTACGCCACAGTTCCCCAGGGGACCGTGGCGACGACCGTCGCCTCGGACTGGCTCGCGAACGAGCTGGCCGAGCACGGAGAGATTGATGCGGCATACCGCGACCGCATAGTCATGCACCTGATGACGGCCGCCGGCGCCTCGGCGCCGGCCGACGCCGTGTTCAGGTTCACGGCTGGCGACGCGATGCAGACCGAGGACGACGACGAGGACGCCGACCGCTCCGAGGATTATTCCGACGACAGGAGGGCGTCCGACTTGTAGCTGGCCTCACCCATATCTTACCCTCTGCCCCCCCCTCCTGCTACCCCCCAGGCTAGATGGTCACAGATAGCCCCACACAGCCCCTTACCCCTTCACCCTCGCCTCGCTGGTGTTTCTGAACACGTAGACGACCACGCTGTGGGGGTTGTGTTATAGGAGTAGGAGTGGGGTGCAGGTTGCTCACCCACGGCACCGGGCCGGTGCTTGCACTTTGAATGCCGTGGGGCTCCTGCCCGTGTCCCGGGCGTGGAGATGCGAGGGTCGCCCCCCCTTGCCCCACCACTTTGTGTGTGTGGAGACGTTTACCTTACCTTACCTTACCTGATCGGGATCGGGTTGCGGGCTAGGCCGCTAGGGAGCCCTAGAGCCCTGGGGGGTGTGCGCGTTCGCAGGGAAAGGGCCGTAAAATAAACACGGGGGTTGGTCGTTCCGTGTACCGGGTCTCTCCCCTTAACTGCAGATCTGCAGAACGCCCCCTCTACTCGGAGCTAACGGACACGCAACACTGTACTCCCCGCACGTACACAGCTACGCCTCATCGTAGAGGGTCCGCAGCGTCCTAATCTAAAATCTGAGGATTCAGGATTGAGGCATCGCTTCAGTGAGGCCAAAGTGAGTTTATGGATGTGTGAGAACGGTACGGGACCGTGCTAAATCGGAACGCATGCTTGCACGTTACCTGACGTTACCGGTCGGCGATCGCATCGTGCCACCAGCTACGCCTGGCACGATGTAGGTACGACAGCATGCGCGCAAAGCACCAGGGCAGCGTCGAGCGTCGTATTGTCAATTTCGACTGGCTGTGCCCGAAGCGCGGAACGCACACGAGCTTGGCAGAATTTCTGAGCACGACTTCCATCATTCATCTCGCCCAAGTGATCACATTTACTGTAGTTGGTGGTGACCCACCCAGACTGCAGCGCATGTGGCGAGCCCACGGTAGCGTGCACGTCCCACACGCGCTGGCCCATCACCTGAACGTGACGCTGCGGGCTGAAGGGCAGCACGTAGCACGAGGTGTAGTAGCCGCGGGGGAAGATCTCGACAAGGCACGGAAGCGGTTGCTGGGTCATAAGAAAGCGGTTGTTGAGCTGTGCGCCGTGCGGCGTGACGTACGCGTATGCAGGCAGACTCCACTGCTGCGCAGTATGGCATGTGTCATTGGTGCTCACCTGATCACGGAGGAGAGGCCAGCGTACCGCGCCGCGGCTGATCAGCTGACGCGGTGGGCTGCGATCCAGCAACACGACGCGCCGCTCGCTCGCTTGCCTCTCCTCGGGAGAATCAGCGTGACCGTTCACGGCAATGCGATGGGTGGGCGCCTGGTGAATGACCTGATCGGCTGCTCTCGCGTCGGAGCTGCCCCGTGGCGCCTCCCACCACAAACTAGACGGTGATGCCCGGCCGTAATGCGTAGAGATGTTGCGGCACTCGTGTTGCATTTTGTGCCAACGAGACCACATATCCGTCTCCTTGAATTGCGACCGTCCCACGGCCTGTCCGCCCGATGAGCGGGTCCGCGGAGGCACTCTCGATCAGGCCCGCGTCTTGAAAGGTGGAGCGGAGCGTGGCCCATCCCGTGTAGAACCGGGCAATCTGCAGATTGGAAACCACGATCACAGAAGACACTTTGGATGAGGCCCTCTCCGCCTCCTGCCGAACGGCCGCTGTCGGCTCGGACTGGAGCAGCCGCGCGACGTCGACCGTCGCGATCGCCTTCGCCTCAGTCATGGACGCTTCCGCGGCCATCAGCTTAAGCTTAAACATTTGCGAGTCACCTTGTTTGTGAACCGACGAACACACGATGATTTGTCCCATAGCAATCCCGTGCGTCGCAGACGTGGACGATGCCGTGAAGACGGCCTTCGCCGCGATGTCGACCGCACTCATCACGACGAAAGATAAGTAGGCGGGGCGAGCCGATCGCAGATCGGCAGGCCCGGACAAGGAGGCGTAGAGTGAGGCGGGGGACGCACGATCGGCCCAATAAGATACATCATAGATCGCCAAATATTTTCTCTTTTGCCCTTAAGTTAAATTCAATAACATCAACCTGGCCTCCTGAGGCTGAGCGATGGCTTCAGATTGCTCAATCAAGACCCCCCCCCCCCCCCCCCTCTCACGCAATTTGCTTCCCGTTTCTAACTCGCACTCTCTGCAGCTCTGCACGCTCCCCCCCGTCTTTAACTTGTATGTCTTTCCCGCAATTTAACTCACGTCCTTTTCCTTTCCTTTTTCCACTACATGTCTCGAGGTTTCTAAAAAGTGGGAGGTGTTATGAGGTTTTGGTCGAGTCATAACAGCTGTTATAATGAGGTTGTTATGCTGGCTGTCATAGCAACCAGTGGGAGGTGTTATGAGTGCTATGAGGTGTTATGAGGTGTTATATGAGGTGTTATGGTAGGGTGGGCATAACAGCCATAACAGCGAGATGGAGGTTTTATGAGGTGTTATGAGGTGTTATGGGGTGTTATGAGCAGCCAGCCATAACTTTATAAGAAAGAAAAGGAAAACCACCGTGAGAGATCCGCGTTGGTGTCCAGTCCGAGCCTGACTGTTCTTCACCTTCCTACATACATACATAGAGTGTGTGTGTGTGTGTGTGTGTGTGTGTGTGTGTGTGTGTGTGTGTGTGTCTGACTCACACACACACTCACTCACTCACTCACTCACACATTTTATTTTATTTTATTTTCGCGCCTGTATCCAGCACCCGCTCGACCGCCCGCGGCGCCCCTTCATTGTCAATGGCGTCTCGGCACTACAGCGCGGCCGAGATCGAGGAGAAGCGGCGCATCGCGTTGAGCCGCCGGGCGGCGCTGGTGCAGCAGCCACTGCAGCCTCAGCAGTCGCCTCACCGTCCACAGCAGCAGCAGCAGCAGCAGCAGCAACCGCCGCAGCCGCTGCTGCCTCGGCCCGCAAGCGGCCCGTTGGCTGCGGCTGGCCCTCGGCCTCCGCTGCGCCCCGCGGGGCCGCCTCCAGCGCCGCAGCAGCCATTATGGCGGCCGCGGCCACCCGGGCCGCCTCAGATGCCGCAGCAGTGTCCGACGCTGCAGCTGCTCACGCCGCCGCAGCCACAGCCAGCGCCACCGCAGCCGCCGCAGCCCCAGCCGCCACGGCCATGGCTGCCGCCGTCGCAAATGCCGCGGCAGCCGTCGCCGCAGCAAGGGCAGCGGCTGCTGCCGACACGGCAGCAGCACCCGTCGCCGTTGCGGCCGCCTCCGCCGCCGCGTCCATCGCCGCTACACGCGACGCACCCGCCCGCGCGTCCGCCGGCGCCGCAGCAGCCGCACCCGTCGCCACTGCGCCCGCCTCTGCAGCCAGCGCCGGTGCAGCCATCGGGGCAGTCTTGGGGTGCGGTGCCACTGCAGCCATCGCCGCGGAACCACGGGCAGGGTGTCGGGCAGAGCGGGCCCGGCTGGAGTGTGCCGCCGAGAGCCGGCGGGGAGGGGGGCGCGCCGCGGCCGTTCGGCGTCTTGCAGGCGGCGGGCGCCTCCCCGGCCCGCCAGCAGCCTCGGGCCAAGGTCGCAACGTCTGCGAGACCCTCCGCCGCCACCCTGCCTGCCCTGCCCGCCGCCGCCGCCGGCGAGGGGGAGGGCAGGGAGATTGCGGAGGAGGGCGCGGCGGCGGCGGCGGCGGCGAGCGCGGCGGCGGGCAGCGCCGGCGTGGCGGGCGGCGGCGGCGTGGCGGGCGGCGCGGCGGCGGCGG